CTGCCGTTCAGCTCTCACCCTACACGGGTTGGAGGAGGCTTAAGAGCTCTCCTAAGCACACCTATAAACTGACAGTGTACCATCTTAAACCAATTCAATTCCCTTCCCTGTGATAAAGGACGCCAGTTCAGAGAAGATAACATCTCACAGTGATGGCTCCCAAAGCTGCAATTTAACACAAATCTAACCGCTCTATTATGCAGCACAGCCAATTCGTTAAGAAAGGACAAGTGAGCATGTCTATTAGCTCTGTCATCATAATCAAATATTGGCACAAGGAACTGCTCAGTGGTGCAAAGTCTAGTGAAATCCCCCGTAAAACAATTATGTGCCCTTCAGAAAAACAACATGCCAGCCAGTTTAGGTGAACCCTTGTATGAGTCACCCTGTTTTTCTCCTTTTAAGATGTGCAGCCCTTTGCGGAGGGGACAAAACCCCATCGACTCTAAGTTGTGTCCGGCAAAGCCTCAAAGAGAGCTTGTCCTTGGGGCTTGTGGTCCACAGTTCCTGGGACTGAGACAGCTCCTGGGCTTGATCTCCAGCAGTCCTCGCTCCCGAGGGTGTTTCTTCTCAGGCATTTGGGACCACATGGCTAGGGGATCCAGTGCAGGTCCTAAATCTGACTGCTCAGAGAGAGGAAAGCCAGGTGCTGGTAGAAGAAGCTGGAGAAGGAGCTCAGCAGAGGCAGGAGGAGCGCTTGCTTTCAGCAGAGCCAAGAGTGCTGCAGCAAAGTCTCCGGTTTGCCTCAACATGAAGATAAGGCAGGATGGCTTGTGTCCCAGGACACCTCCTGTGCCAGGAGCTGGGGCTGCAGCAGGAGCAGAGGGAAGGTCTCTTACTGCTGCATACATGGGGTCGACACGAAGGCTCTGAACCAAACTGTCCCCGGTGTCTCTGCGGTGGCTGTGTCACTTCATGGCTCCTAGTTACTCCCGATTTCACTGTCAGTCACAACTGAGGGAGACTGTGGGCCCTAAGTTTGACCACTCTTACCAGCCCCTGCCTTGCACTTTTAATTGAGCCTGCGATCTCTGTACCATGCCCTGCAAAGGAGGGGCAGAGGGCAGAGCCGGTGGCAGAGCTGGCAGCCCACTTGTCCACCACACTGGCCCTGGAAACCCACCAGCACTAAGCAAGAGCATCTACTGCAGTCTCTCCAGGAGGGATGTCCTCTCTTCCACCATCCCCATGAGCCTGTCCTAAGCCTCTGCCAGTTGTCCTGCCCCAGGACAGCTTGCAGACACCCAAGGAAGACAGAAAAAACTTCCAATGAACACCAATAGCCATGTACATGCTTGAGGAAAGGCTTTAAGAAATCTTCTTTCTACCCAAAATTTTGCTTCAAATTTTTCTGGCTACAGTTCTTACCCTTTTGGCTCCATTTTACTCTGCCTTTCACCCTTGTGTCTTTGCAGCACAGCCACCACCTCCTGCCTTAACCCAACAGCACTTGTGCCTCTGCATGGGGGCAATCAGGAAAGTTCAGCTCAGTTAATCAGAGAATTGAATTTCTTGGTGATGTACCTGCCTGAAATTCCCATTTGACCCAACTCACTCAGCTCCAAATGGCCTTAATGTGATTTACCTTATTTCACCTTGGAAGCCACAGCAAAGCGAAACTGAATTTCAGCAACTTCGGAAATGATGTCTCCAACACAGAGACAGGTGAGAAATTCTCTTCATTGACACCGCTTCAAAACATAAACTCTTTTGCCAGTGAAAAAGCTCCATTCTTCCAGGAAGGTAATCTGTGAACAGGCAGATATAAGTGAGGAAATCTTGTTGACAAAACCAAGCCACCTCCCAGCATTTTAGCTAAACCTCAGAGATCAGTTTGGTGAGGCTTTTTTGTAAATCCAGGAGGGGAAAGCGTCCACCTCTGTGTCCTGTCCCAGGGCTGGCATCTCCTGCACCGCTCCCGATGGCATCTCCTCTGCTCGCACACCACCTGCGGGAGCACAAAGCTGTGAAATTCCGGGGATGCTGAGTGCTGGGGGTGCAGGGTGCGACCCCTGCCCGGAGGAACGCTGCCTGCAGCCCTCCTGCCTTGGGAAAGGGGCTCCAGCAACCGACTAAATAAATAGACACCTTTGCTTGGACTTTTGATTCTCCCCATCATGGGACTGGCGGGATTTTAGGCACCTGCTTGGCTGGATGGTGACAGCTCCTTATTCTTCAAAGCCTTGAGAGATACCAAACCTAAATTCCCCCTAAGTCCCCCAGTTTAGTAGGCGGGGAGAGCCAGGTTTGGGGTGGGCAGTCCCTGGCTGCAGCTCCGAGGGGGGGACACACGCCGACCCTCCAAGCCACAGTGCAGGAGCAAGGACGAAGCCCATCAGGGACCCATTGGGGACGTTGGCAGCAGCTTGAAGAAAGACCATAGGAACTAAAGTCACAAACAGAACTGGGTTTTATTACGAAATAACCCTGCCATTACATAAGGAAGTTCTGTCTGCAAAATACATTTCCTGAGGAAAGTAGATCACAGTATTCGTTTTCACAGAATAACATGTAGCCTGCTATAACTTTCAATGTGACTCTTTATTATTTAAATATTAACAGTATTCCTTCACATAAACAAGTACTCAGTCATCACATAACTGACACACAAACGACAAAATAAATATACAACAAGAGCACAGTTCATTTTTTTTTCCCGACTTAAATATTAAATAAATAATAAATACAGAATTTTCATTTCCTGTTATCAGTGCCTGAAACAATATGAATGAAAAAGAAAAGAAAAACTGAAAAAGTCTCTCTTCCCCCCGGTGCCCCTGCCCCCACAAAAAAACAAACCAAAAAATTATCAAAATGTCTCAGTTATAAAATATCTTTAAAAAAATTCCCATCGTTAAAAGAATAAATAACAAAATATATAAAAAATAACTTGGTTGCATCAAAATTACAAGTAGGAGTTGTAGATAGGGGTTTTTTTCTTTTTTTTCTGTTTTTTGGAATATCTTTCTTTTTATGGTCAAAAGTTTTAATTTTTAACTTTTTTTTGCTTCTTTTATCTTCTTTTCTATGGTGCGGTGTCCAGTTTAAAATAAGTATAAAATTAATAAATAAAAAAGTTAAATAAATAGCAAAAAGTTAACATAAGGTGTTGTAAATATAAATTACATACATCTTGCCAAAATTAAATAATTTACAGGATAATTAAACTAACTACTTTTTTTTTTTCCTCTCTTTCTTCCAGGAAGTGCAATTTCTCTACTCTTAAATACTAACTGAATTGCAGTCACAATCAATTTGGACTCTATTTACATGTTAAGAACATTGTGTTTTTAACACCTCAAATTATTTTTATTTTTTTTCCCTTTCTTCTGTATTTTTGCACTTGGAATGGGTTCTAAAATAAGTGAACTCATGGAGTCGGATCCTGCAAACACTTAAGTATGCGAGTAAACCCACTCACGCCAGCTGCCCTATTGCACTCAACAGGGGAACCGACACAAGTCAAGTCGCTCGTGAGCTTCGGGGCCGGATCCAGTGGCCGCTGCCATCGCCGGGAAGCTTTCTCCTGACTTCTCTGAATCGTGGATTATGCCCTAAATATCTGCAGGATTGGGCTCGAAACGACACCACAGTCTTGCCTTTAGTATGGGTCAGCAAAATCCTCCCCAGCTCTGCCCGCCCCGCCGCCGGGAGGGATGTGGGATGCGGGATGCGGGTGCTCCCCGCGCTGGGACCCCTCGGGAGGTTTTGCCCCCCTCCGCTTCCAAAGTGTTTGCAGCAGGGGGACAGCAAGCTCCGTATGGGAGCGAAGGTGGGGGAGAGCGAGCCCGCGGGGTGACAGCCGGCTCCACGCGCGATGGAGCAGGTGCTGGAGAGCAGCGTCGCAAAGACATTCATAGAGTTGTTCTTTAAGTGCACAGTGGGCTGCGTGTACCGAGCTGCTTACAAAATGCTTCTTTGGAAGAATACCCAATACCTGAATACTCTTTTTTTTTTTTTTTTCCTTTTTTTTTCTTTTTTTTTTGCAGAATGGCGCTTGCGCTGTGATTTTGCGCAAAATGTAGAACACCAAACCAAAAAATACCCATTGCCCTGTGGATACCTGTAAGAAATCGACCACTGATTCATGGTAGGTAAGCACTTTGCTGGCCATTAATTAACATCTCTCTTTTTGTTGGTTTTTGTTTCTTTTTTTTTTTTTTTTTGTTCATCGCAATCTCAAACGTTCTCTGGCATCGATGTATGATCTCTGGACTGGCAGTACTGCGCCACTGTAAGGATGATCACAATAATGAAAAGAACCAGAACCGTCATCAAACAGACTTCTAAAAAATCATATACACCGGACCATGACACATTAAGAATTCTTCTGTATGAAATATCTGGTATTGGCCTATTCATAATAGCTATTCTCATATTTAAGACAGACAAAGGAATACTGTAGTTGCAAACTCCAAAAGCTTCCCTGAGAACCTTTTTTCCATTGCGCTTTCCACTGGAGATCCAGAACTGCTCTTCAGATTTCTTTCAGAAAATAAAAATAAGCTACTTTATAATACTTCAGAGTTCCCATGCCCAGTGGATATCTGAACACCTCGGGGTTGGGAGGCCCAGCACAGGTTCAGATTTACAGGTAGCTTGCAGCTCCAGCACTTGTAGCAACATAGAACATAATTCATGTGTGAGTAGGTGATCTGGACATACAACCATAGACAACATGAGCGTTTAAGCCAGTCATACGCTAGTCTTGGATCAGACAAGACCCTGTTTTTGTAACGTTTTAACTCTTGGATCAATTCTGCAAGAGCATGGCAACTCATGAAAGATGCCTGCTCTTCACCAGCTACCGAGCCCCACAGCCTACTGGAGAATTTAACCTTCCATCCTGATCTACCTCGTGGTCCAGGTAGAAAAATCCCACTTTTGTCAAGAAGGTCCAAAGTTAAGTAAACGAGAACATTGAGTTCGGTCAGTTCCACGTCTCAGAAATGGCCTCTTGGTTACATTTTGGTCCTTTTTTTTTCTTTTTTTTTTTTTTCCATTCATTAAACAAGTTTTCTAACTTGTAAACCTGAATACTTGGAGGGAAAGTTCCATCTTACAGTCTGTTCGCTTGCTCGTCTCCATCCCAGCGCTAAACCTGGATGCCCTTGACGGCTTGCTTGATGCTCTCCAGCAGGTCCTTGTTCTCCGGGTTCTGGTAGCACTCCTGGTTGGTGTACATGTCAGTCAGCGTGTTCACATATGCATCGAAGTTCTGCTCACTAATTGGCTCCTGCAGCCAAAAAAGCCAAATAAAAGTGTTAGTAGTAGAGCAGGAAGAGGCTGAGATGTTTCTTTGCAATTAATCGTCTGTATGTACCAACGGCCAAAGGTTTCTACGTCGGACCCTTTTTGTGTGCGGTGTTGTATGTATGGGAACCTCTGTGCAACCCCTGATCCTGCCAGATCTTAACTGGGTCCTTAATTTTATGCATTGGCCTCGTGGAACTATTAACAGCATCAGGTTAAGCGTGTGCAGGCAGTTTGACAGGCTTGAGGCTGAATTAAGCCATGGAAATGAAGGGCTGGAGGACGAGAGGAGGCAGGGACTGCTGAAGCATCATGGAGGGAACCAAAGGCAAAGTTAGGACAGGAGCCCGGTCACCTTGGGCTCACATCTGCCCCCACCAGCACGCTGCTGCTGCAGTACAGCTTTTGCTTTTGAGGGGCATCGTGGAAACCTTGCAAATACCTAACTTGGAGTTAATGGGGGAAAAAGAAAGGGAGAAGGAAGAAAAAGAACAGGAATAAAATGAGCATACAAGTCTCGTGGGCATTATTTAATTGGAGTTGCCTGAAACCTTGAAAAAATATTTGCTGAACAGTTTATTTGACCTTTATGTGTCAAATACTTCACAGAAAAGCACTCAGCGAGCGGTTTTCTGCCAGTTAGGCAGCTGGGTGAATACTATCCAAAACTGCTCTGCTGGAGGATGGCTTCTCTCCAACCAGCCTGAAATTAAATACAAACCCCAATGAAAAGGATTCCCAAAAAAACGGATGGCAGAAAAAATAAATCAAAAGCTCATTCCTATGATCACTGCGATGGTCTTTATGAGTTGTAAGAGGACAGCTTCCCCAACAACACGAGCCCCCCCTCCACACACCTGGTTTTGACAACAGTAATTACATTCCTGGGAATAGAGAGGAGGTAATTAATAGCCTTTTGTGGTTTTACTATTTTAATGCAGTCTTTTCATTTTGCAGTAACTCTATGTAACATGCTGTGGGCTGTTAGACCTTGTTAAATTAAACAAAATACACTCTCTTTAAGAATGCTATTCTTTGGCTGCCAGCTATTCAAAACTGAATTGAAACTACCTGCATTATAATAGGAGCTGTAAGATCTTTCTGACGTTGAAATCCAATCCCTCCTGATCTCTGCTTGTTCTGTCTTAGCCTAAAAGGCGCTGGGTGCCCTTGATAAAGTTTCCTATTTTGTGATAATGCTCCCAGATGTAATGAGACAGAACAATAGATACAAAGGGAGATCAGCAGAAAATGACAACAAAAGGGAGATATAATGCAAGCTTCAGAGATAAGGCAAAAATACTGATCTTATAAAGGACACGTAGGTGTATATAGAGAAATTCTCCCACTCTTTAATTGTGCATAAGCCTTATCGTGAATTGGGTTTGGCACGGCTCTCTCGATCACACCGGCTGGGGCGAGCGCTTGTCAAAGTTTCTTACCATGTGCGGAAGGCGGATATTGGCAAGACTTTGGATTAGAGCCTGGCTCAACCCTGAGAGCTCCAGGAACAGGGCTTCGTTTTGCTCCTCTATGATTTTGTTTTCCTCCTCGATGTTCTTCAGGTTCTTCTCCATGGTGGAGATCTGCAGAGCAAGGCGCATGCCAGGGTTACCAACCCTCACGCGACAGCACCCACCACCACCCATGCAAGGGGCTTGGCCGTGCATCCACAGGCTTGGATGCCCGTCCAAAGCACACAAACCTGCGACTGCAGTTTCACCATGGCGGCTTCCATCTCCGAGTTGGACTCATTCAGCTCACTGATCTCCTTGTTCAGCTGCTTGATCTCTTCATCGTTCTCCAGAACTGTGGGAGAGAAGGTCACGGGCAGTCAGCAAACGCTTGCGGGATAAGCAAAAATGTTGAGCTTTCTGCTGAGCCCGTCCTGTTGCGTGGACATCACCACTCACAAAGTCCTTGCCTTTGCTTTTACGTCCTCTAAACGGGATGCACATCTCACCTGCTTATTTTTAGTTTTAGTTTTTTAGTAAGGTTTTTAGCATCATGGTTCAATGGTACTTTATAGGTCAATATGTAAATGCAAAAGCCAACGACAGCATAGCGGTTGGAGTCCAGCACCTCCACGCACCCTGCAAGGTTGATTGCCCTGAAAACTCAGGTCAGTCTGTCCAGTCCTGAGTTTGGGAAGATGACATTTAAAAAACTAATGCATGCCTTGATTAGAAATTACGAGGTTCATAAAATAAAGCAATATTTCTAGAAGAGTGCGGGTATTTATAGATTCCAAACTATATAAGTATTCAAGTCAAATGCCTGAACCTTGTCAAATACCACAGAAACCTCAGTAATAGCACTGGAAAAGCAAACTGCCATCGCTAACAAAATTCCAGATCCAGAAATATCTGCAGGATTAAAAGCCCTGAATAGGTGAAAATCGCTGAACGACTGCAAGTGATTTGTAAAAATGCCAGTGAATATTTAAAAAAAAAAAATCTCAATTTCAGCATTAGTTCTTTTTGCCTGGAATTTCACTATAGAAACTCCTTCTTTATCGTTTCACCTGCTCCCTCCCAGTATGTCACTCGGGGAGCGGTGCCGGTACCACGCCACCCCAATACCCAGGCAACCCAAGAAATGGGTGCTCATAGCACAGGATAAGCTTGCAAATCTGAGGCCAGATTTCTGTGTTGAAACCTCTTCAGTCTGCAAAGAAAAAGATATACGGGCTCAATACCCCGACACACCTGCAAAGCAAAAGGAGTGAACTTACCATCGCTGGTCTTGAACTTTGTGTTGAGAATTTCATCCCCTGAGAGTTTTCCTTTCTTCCCAGCAAAAGTAGCTCTTGGACACCCTGACAAACTGAAAAGCAAGTAAAAAGGGGTTTCATAAACTCTCAGTATTTCTAGGTGCTTATGTTCCCAACAAGAGCACGTACCATTTGGTAGAGTTCATGCTGCGAGACAGTTCTAAAAGCTTTTTACGGTACAGAGGAAATTGCTTTATGAATAATGCCACAAACCTCCCCATTTATAAAGCGAGAGCAATTTTCTCTGAACAAAGATTAAAAACCACATTGTTTCCTAAAAGAGAGGGCATGACAGGTGAGGAAGGTGAGACGAGTCTGGTTGGTTGGGGTGTCAAATCCCCCGTTTGGGGTGGGTCCTGTTCTGGCTTGCTCATGGAAGGACGTTATATTATCAATTTTCATGATTTTACCCAATCCACATCTCACCATTGCAATATTAAAATAACTCACGTATTGTTAGTTAGCATTTTCCTCCACGCAGAAAGCTCCAACCTCGGAGCAACGTGACTGAGGTCAGGATCAAAAGCACCAGCTATTGAGCCTTGCATGAAGAGCTGAACGATGCTCAAGGAGCATCTAAGGCAGGTAGGTTAGTCCATGGCAATGTTGTCACGCTCCCGCTGATTTCAACCCTGCGATTTACCTTCTGTGAGTGAGGAAGCTCCCGTTGGCATGGCCAGAGCCGTCGCAGCCCGGCGTAGGACAGGTTGGGCCTTCATTCTTCAACGACTTCCAGGAAAATGAGGACCCATTGAGCGATCCTTCCTTCTGCCTGCGGGCTGCGAGAGGGCACCCTGATGCGCTCCGGTGAGAGGCATATTTGCCGCTGATGTGTCCGAGCCCAACGCAGCCAGGAACCGGACACCTGGGCACAGGGAATTACCAAAAATTACAGCACGGGAATGAAGAGGGACGTAAGGAAATTAGGGATGAGCAGGAACGAGGAAGCCTGGGAAGAGAGCGTTCGCATTTAGGGATCTCATCTGGACTTTATGGGGTAGGTGCTTAGTTGATGGAAATGGCAGATCGGAAATTAAGAGCTATGACTGCCCCTTCAAGAGAGCAAAAGAGAACCAAGGTAAATCCTGCAAGAGGGAAAGACTGTGGAGGTCACATCACACTCACACTTGCAGCAAAAGCAGGTCCCAGTGGTGTCCCAAACCGTATGTTCGGTGCCTCATTGAGGGCAAAGATGGCAGGTAGGGCGGCCTGACGTGGGATCCCGACGTTACCTCAAGGCTGACACGCTCGCACCGAACCATGACAAATTTACACCCAGCTCTGCCCGGTGTTACTGCAGAGGAACCCAGGGTCATCAACTTTATCACCCTACACTAGCATGGTCAACGCGATCTAGGAGCACTGTCTGTACCCATGGGGACACAACCCTTCCTCGTGAACCAGTCCCTGACCCGGGAGCCGGTCAGGCTGCAACCTGTGCACCGAAAAGCTGCAAACCTGCTCCTGCAAGGAGGGCATCCGAGGGGTTTCCAAGTCCGTACCCCATCAGACAGGACAAATAAACCCTGGGGCACCGCTCAGCCTGCAGCCGCGGCACAGCCTCGCTTGCCGCCTCCTCCTCCTGGTTCACGTCCCGCGGCTATCAAGAGATCAACCTGCGCTCGCAAAGGGATGAAAGTGGGAATTGTCGTCAAGGCGGTGCACGGGCCCTCCCGCCCCCGTGCTTCTGCCGCCGTTTGTGGCTGGTTAAAGCACACAGGAGCTGCGAGGGGCATCATGGAAGCACTGACACAACTTGTGCTAATTGCCAAGAGGCTGAGTGCCTCTCTAACAGGCACCTCCTTCCTCCCTGCTCACAAACTCCCCGCCTAATGGCATACTCACTAAATTCAGCCGTTCGACAAAGCCTGGTGTATCTATTAAGGTTTCTGCTGTGGTTTGTTTAAAGATGCTAGTCAATTATAAATACAGTTAAAAGTTTATTACTCAAGGGAGGCTACTCTAAAAAAGGAGGGGTGGGAGGAAAAGTAGGTAAGAAATGGCAAAATTAACCCCGTGTCCTCGGTTTGAAAGCAATTAGGGACTTAAGTTTCCCCAGCAAAATATCTGCTGAGCTGCTCCTGAAAATCGCAAGCTGCGTTTCACCGCAGAAATGATTACCCTGATTGTTTATATTTCGTACAAAAGGGAGATGACAGCAGAAGGGGGGAGCTGTACACCCAGCCTTTTCCCAAGATAATTTGAAAAATGCTGATCTCGATTTTAATCAGCTGCAAATGCAGCACAATTCACTTATAATATCCCTGCCAGCAGGATCCTCAGTAAATTCATAACATCATTGCTTTTATATGATCACGAGCAAATTACTGAATCCTCAGGAGGAAAAGGAGCGGGGGGGAAAGCACGAGAGAGAAAGAGACTAACCCCAGCATTTAGTATGCAGCCATTACGGCCCAACCGTTACATATTTTACGCTGTTAATTTAACTTTCATTACATTTTCATTGTTAAAAAAATAAACCGGAGCCTTATTGTGCAAAACAGCTGGCTTGGACATTTTTAATTTTTTTTTTTTTTTTTAAATGATTATTATTTAACAGAAGCACCAGTAGTGTTTGATCAATTAGGCAGCCGTGGATGCTTCCGCTTTATGCCAGGGCTGGGCTGAAGGTTGACGTGATCTGTTCAATCATGTCTGTAGCAAATTACTTGAAGGATGAACAGCAAAACCCAACAGGGACTAAATGACTTTCTCCTCGGTGGCGATGTGCAAAGCTCGGCTGGGTTCCAAGTGGCGCTCGGTGCAGACGGAGGATGGATTTAGAGCGAAAGCTCCTTAACGCAAACCCGCACCGGGCGCACCTTGCTGTGGGAGGCACAACACAAGCTTTCCAAGGGCTGGGGGAAGGCAGCGGGGAAGGGATTGTTGTACCGTGTTGTTTTGCACATCTCAGAGGAGCTTCTGCTCCTCCTGGGTGTACTGGAGGAGCGGGGGTTGCTGCCTGTGCCGCGGGACGTTGGGGAATGCCTTCATGCCCTCATGCCGTGGAGACCCTCGTGCCCACCTGGCACTGCCTGCACCTGCACCCACGGTCCCGCTGCCGACAGTGCAGCAGAGCCACACCGAGCCTCCAAGGCCAGCCCGGGGGTGGACAACGTCAGCTTTCTAGGATTCAGAAAATCCCAGCTCTGGTGATGCTCCAACCCCATTTGTTGCCACTTTAGCTTCCCAGCGTCTGCACCTTTAGGTGGACTAGAAGAGACCCAGCCCCTGGTGAGGATGCCAGGGGGGACCGTCGTCCTGCTGGGGATGCCTGACAGCTCGTCCCGCGTTCCTGTACACGCGCCAGCTGCACCACAACAAAACAGCCATATAAAAGCCCCTTTCTCCTTGCGCTGGGAAGCAATATCTTTGCAGAGAAACCGCGCTGGGGGAGCCGCTTGGCACATCACCGACCGGTCCCAGCCCCGAATGGGGCAGGCAAGGGTGAGCAAAGCCACGGCTTCCCCAGCCCCGCAGGGCACGTGTCCCTGGGGAAAACGTGGAGAGGGGCGACCTCCCAACCGGGGGCCTCCGACTGCGGTAAAAGAAGCAAACGTGCAACAGCCGGCAGTTGCACGACAGCATTTGCTGCTTGTCCTTTCCTTCGCTGTGTCACTGGTTAATGGCACAGCGTTACAACGCCACCAGCAATTTAGTGTATTATTTGAGCCAAAAAAGGATTTTTTCCCACAGATTCTTGAGCAGGTTGCTTAATTTTTAATAAACTCCGCTAACTCCTGCTAATTATCACACGGCTCATTTAACTGGGAGGCTTTCCTTCCTGTAGACTGAGGAATAAAAACAGAGCAGATGGCTCAAATATCATCTCTTTCTTAAAGGTCCTTCCCTGAGCTCACGCATCCTGGTTTCCCGCAGCCTCCGCCGGGCTCTTCCGCACCCACTTGTTCCCACTCTGGCTCAGCCTCTGCTCCAGGGCAAAACCCGGGTACACAGAGGTATTCACCTCTGCTCTTCTGCAAGGACAAGACCTGCCCTAGGGCTAAAACGGGGGGAAAAAAAGATGCATTTGGGGACAGTCTGCTGAGCCAAAGGGGTTTGGCCAGAAATGCCAGCGCTCATGGGCATCCAGAAACTCTTGGAGGGGGTTGATAAGTTTTTCCACCTTTCTTTTTAACCCCCTCCACCTGCACTTGCTGGGTGAGTGGACAGTCTCCAGAAAGGCTGGGGATGCTCTGGGTTAACAAAAAATAGGATGCTGGGGTCAGTGCTGGCCCCAGCCCTGCTGTAAAGGCTTTGACGTCCTGTAGCTGCGCGAGGGATCGAGAGACAGACTCCGAACCTTGTGTCAGGCCCTGGACGCCGAGCCCGTGATGCTCAGGCTTGCTAAAAGTCAGGACAAATGGATTTCACAGCAAATGAAAGCTCCTGAGGCAGACTAAGAGATTTAAAATCTCTGTTCCCAGTAGGAATAAACCCCCTGGGATGTTTTGAAAAATTCAGCCCGAGGCAGCAGAGAAAGGCTTTTTCTGTTCGCTTTGAATATTCAGCCGTGGCAAAGACTCTACAAAACGTGTCTTATTCGGGGTTACCGGATCCTGACCCGACTCAGTGCTGGATAGTTTCTATTTCTACCGTGTTCCTGGGAGTTAAGCGAGCCCTCCAGCACCCCTCGCCTGCCCATTACTGCCCAAAAACCTGCAACATTTTGCTTACCTGTGGGGTCTTACCCTCATTTACAACACTGGTGGGTTTTTTTAGGAATTATATAAAGCACTGGTAGGAGAGGAACTGTTCGTGCCCTACCAGCCTACCTTTCACATCTGCAAAAACCAATAAGAAAAAATACACCGTTACCTCCCCACCACCCAATTTTCCCATCAAATTTCAAAATTGCAACACCATTTTTGGGATTGCAGAATTCCCTGGAAACCAGCAGAAGAGCTTTGGCAGCGCCCGCTCCAGCGCGGGCAGGCGATGCTCCGAGCAGCATGAGCGAGGGGGGACGCGGGATGGACGCTGCTCCCCCCCGTAAATCTGTGCGAGGCAAAGGGGATCGAGCAAAAGGGTCCACTCGGGAGTTTCATCCAGACTTACTTCATCAGCTCTGGGTCTTCTTTATCATCCTTTGTTGGGGTGATCTTGATCCCACTTTTCTTGGCACGAGGGCAGCCTGACAGACTGTGGTTAAAAAGAGAAGAAAGGCCTGTCTCACTGGCAGAATCACTGCATTTGCTATTCCCCCGCTTCAGTCATCTTTCCCTTGAATTTCGCACAGTGTTTTTGATCTCTCTCGTTTTGCAGCTTCACATCACGAGAAGAAGTCAGGAGAAAAAAAAAATAATAAAAAATTGAGGGAGATGGACAGTAATTAATGGTGTCTAGATAAGAAGATATCTGCTAACAGCCTGCGATGTTTAATGGAATTGTTGAAACAGAAGGCTCAGATCTCTGCTATTAATGCTCTAAAGTGATAATAGAAGTCATAAATAGGTAGCATTATTAACAGGAACATTGCATCAGCTAAAATCTGACCCTTTGTCTTTTATTCTGTTGAAGGGAGCTTCTAATCAGATGCTGGAAACATCAAAAAAAAAAAAAAAGTCAGATTAAAGAGATGAAAATAGGCTTCAGTTGTCAGTAACATTAATGTTTTATTCAGAACTTTGCAACTCTGCCCACTGCAGGGGGAAAAAAAAACAGAAAGAAGCTACAGAGAAAATAATTTAAGGGAGATCTTACCTTCTATGCGATGCATAATTTCCTGTTATGTGACCAGAGCCATCACAACCAGGAGTAGGGCACCTGCGGAGGAAAGGGATGCTCGGATTAGCCTGGGGATGCGAGCAGGGGATCGACGCTTTGCGACAGCTCATTTCAAAGAGAAATCTAGGGACTGTCAACACAGAAGCAGGTTTTTCTTCCTGCCCCTTCTCCCTCCGTAAGAACAAGGGCTGGTCTGTAATATCCACGACACCAAAGTTGATGCATCGCTGCATGATGTCGGCGGTGGAGAGGAACATCAGTGGGAAGAGGGGGGGACGTTGGGAGTGCGGCAGGTAGCTGCTCTCCAGCGGAGGGACGTGGGTCCCAGCCTCTGTCCCCACCCTCCTGAATGGGACAGCTCAGAAGATGATAACAAAGGAGCCAAAAAAAGACCTCTAGGACAGTGTCCGTCTTCCTGAGGAAGACGTAAGGAGATGGCAGGTACCATCCAGGGCCATTGGGCTGGATGCAAGCATAGACAAGAAACCAGAAAAATAGCCTACAACTCTGGACAACTTGGCCATCGAGCTTTCTCCTCTGGGGCCACCTCGGCCAACACCAAGAGGAAGCCCAACAGAACATCTCAGATCAGTTCTGGGTGATTTGGCGGGGGCTAATCTCACTGAGGGAAAACAGACACCCCACCCCAGGAGGGTCCTCAGAGTCCAAAATCATTTGATGCCTCCGATGGAAAATAATGAAGGAATAGGAGGGAAAAGGTTAGGTTAACCTCAGGTCTCCTCCTTCCATAACGCCATGGGCGAGGGACAGGGGGGTCTGCAAGGGGACAGCTGCCTGCGGGGCCTTGGGCTGGGGATCACCAGGTCACCAGGCACGGTGCACCAGCAGCTTTTGGTGCTTCGGTGCAAAATCTGCCCCTCGGTCCTCAGCCGCTGCCATTACAAAGGGGTCTTTGAAGATGCAGCCATGATCGTGGGTTTGAAGGTAAGCATCCAGCACTCCGGGACATGATTGAAAGCAAAGCCTGGAGAATAGTTCTGTGATCACACAAACCTGCACAAAGGCTAGCAGGGGCTGCGAGCTCTACCGAGCGGCAGCGAAGATAATGGCACGAGTTAAGCACCGCATCATTAAGGGCACGGAAGCAAGAAAGGTGAGGGGATATGAAGTACCACGAGCACAAAGATCTGCTCCAAATGCTGTAGGTGACGCGGTGAACATAAAAGTTGTCATGGGGACAAGGAGGAGAGGTGAGGAGTGCTCACCGAGGAAGTGCGCGCCAGCCTGCCAATTAGCCAGGGCTGTTTGAGTCAAGTGATTAGTACGGGGGGGAGGAAATCCACGGTGCCGCGGCGGGACGAGCAGGAGGGGCTCAGCCGCTCGCTTCTGAGCTGGCGCGAGCAAAGCTTACGGGATGACCGCAAGCTTGCAGAGTGCTCTTTCTCTTTGAGGGAAGATTTTGCTATGCCCCCGCTTTCTCAAGCCCCATTTTTAGAGCCACCGGTGCCTGGTTTGGTAGCACTGGTTGGTACCCCGCCGCAGAGCAGGGATCGATGTGTCTCCAGGACACCCCAGTGAACTGACGGGCAACACATGCCGGTGCACGGGCAGCCCCTGAGGCCAATGCCTTTGGGAAAGCTCATGCCTGACCTAGGCAATGGTATAGTTGGGGTGCTCTGAGAGTCAATGCAGCAATGATTTCCACAGATGCCTTTAGTTCTGCAGCTTGGGAAATGGCCTTTTAAAAAGTCCTCTTTTTTTTTTTGTTAGAAAATATCAAAATCCTCCTCTTTGCACCAGCTCTGAGGGAGGGTTTGGCAATTGTGGGTCATTGAAGAGTCTGCATTGGCAATAAAATTTGGCACCTCACCTAGGCTGAGGAGAGCAGGGAGACATCCTGGTCCCAGAAGGGTGACAGGGAGACTAAGTCAGGACCAAGGCTCGGCTGCTCAACTCAGGAAAACATAAATGCACGTAGGTCCGGTGCAATAAGAGAAGGGACACATCCAGCAGGACCCCTGTGAGGGTGCAAATTCTCTAACTCATTTAGAAATTACAGGTTTAGGAGATGACTGTGACATTTCCCTGTTACATGCTGTTAAAATAGAAAGCAAAACTATTTCTTTGTTGTTCTAGCTTCAGGGTGGGATGAAATTCTGAAAACACTAACACCAAACTCCTTTTGCCTTTCAGGACTTTTAAAAAAGGGAGGGAAGTGATTTGAGTTTTATTTTTAATTATCTGGAGAGAAATCATACCGACAGAGACCTTTTATTGCATGTTCCAGCCTGGAGCTGTTTTTTTTATATCGGGGATATTAACCCCTGAAATAGAATTTATAATAGAAACACTGACATGGTCTTATCTGAAGTTGTGAAAAGCGATGACTGCGCTATCTGAAGTATCTCCAAATCCTCTTCCCTTCCTCCCTGCTCTGCTCCCATCCTCACCAGGACATAGGAAAAAAAAGCAGTCCTTGGAAAATAACATTACAAAGCTTTGTTTTGGCCAGAAGTTTCCTGTTTTATACAGTATTTTGATAAAAAGCGCTGACATCGGATGCCCAAGGGGAGCAGGGGATGCTGCACAGCAAGTCTTGGTGCGATGCTCCGTCTCGGGGACGACCCCGTTTGCTTTTTCTCCGGGCCCTTACTGGAAACGGGCCTGTTCCTGAGACTTTTTAATATCTTTAACGCTAATTGCCTGATCACTGGGCTATTCTTCAAGGCTGTTGGAGAAACACCAGTTCAGCAAAGCTATGTTAAGAGGTTATTTCAAAATGTATATCGTCTATAATGCATGATTAAGTGTACTTAGCGCTAATCATGTGAGTCTTTTCCCTCCACTAGCATATTCTATTAATATCAACTAATCCAGCTACTTTTTCCACCTCTGTGATAAGGAGCAGGCAGCTAACGAACATTTCTCCTGGCACCAGCACCCGCATCGATGGTGGGGTGCGGAGCCGTCCCAGACCTACGCTGCCTTCCGGGCCACCAGAAAGGGATTTGGGGCTTTACTGACCACTTTAATGACCAAAGGGGCTCCCACCTGACTTGACTATTCTTACCGTGGCTCCAAACATCACTGATTGCATACAGGACACAGGACATATTTATTTTTTTTATGATGAGCCTGTGCAATGTGAAGTCCCCCATGAGGTTTTACTCTCAGTAGAGGCTCTTCTGTTATAGTTACGAATCTCAGTGTCTAAATAATCCTGCAACTGGATTCAGCAAAGCAGGGAGCTCAGAGGAGAATCAGCCTCCAAAAATAGGCTGGCTCCATGGAAGTGATGGTGGAAAAAAAATTCACAATTAGCTTTTCCCCAAAGATGTAGGTTGGGTGGAGGAGGATTCCGGTCCCCCCCAGTATCTCCATCGATTTTAAATACAATTTCTATTAAACCTTTCTTTAGGGGAGGCAACCTAAGAGAGAATTTGGGAAACCTTCTTGTGAAGAATAAGCTCCTAGTGAAAATGAGGAGCTTTGGGAAGACAGCAGCAAAGCTGAAAACAGGATTAAGAGGAAGATATTTGAATGAAAATGTGAAGACCGAGTTCCTCCCATCAGGAGCAGAAATGGGAACAAAGAAATTTGTGTGCCTGTGAGCCCTTTGCCACTGGCTCAGGATCCGGCCTCGCCAAGCGTTTGCTTGCTCCCTCTTTCATTCCCTCACAAATCAAACTCCCATGGAAATGAATAGGAACCTCTGTCACTGCATCCCAAACAACCCCTGAAATTCAGCATAAAATTAGCATCCCAGGTTCTCCGAAAGAGTTGGCATCTTTTCGCTGTGTCCTGGTGGTATTTTCCCAGCTGTGTCTCTACCCAAAAATAAAGCGTGTGCTTTTATCTAGGCTTTGGATTATTTGAGAGCCATACAAAAATGTTGAATGAAAAGGGTTATGGCACAAAATAGGGAAACAAGAGCTTGGGAAAGGATGCCAAATGGGAAAGAAAATAGCGTATGTCTACAGTGCCCAAAGAAAACCTGCCAGGGGTCCAGGTTATTTCTGATCGTTTCCGTGATCCCCCCTCCCCAAAATAAGCCTTGCTCCATGATGCTGACTCTTCCCAACGTGGCGGCTGGAGGCTGGGCTCCACCAGAGCTCCTCGCAGGTGGATTTTGATCGGCTCTTTGAAAGGAGAAGGGAGGGGA